AAGGATTATAGACCCAAATGCGGGGAAAGGAGAGAAAGGACAAAGATAAAGAAGTGAGAAAGGTTGGAAAATTAAGGGTCAATATTTTCAAACAGAAGATCTAATTAAGTTTTCTCACTACTTTTTATCTTTTGTCTTTTCTCTCCTTTCCCCAAATTTCCTTTAATCCTTCCTCATTCACACATCTCCAAGTATTTGAAAATATTTCCTTTCCACACAAAAATAAAATATGAATGAAGGTTTACGAGTTTGTGAAACTTCTTTTTTGAGTTTATGCCATTGAAATAAATAAATAATAAAAAATTGAAACATTTGTCGGTTTTGTTTACACGTTTATTGGGCCTCATTGGAACTTGCCTTAGTCCGCGGGTTGGACACCCCTGCTATACAGTATAAATATAGCTAACCGTTGTGACATCATACGTATTAGTTACAATTTTAAAACCTTAAAAATGAAAACTGATTATATTAACCTGTAAATGTACAATTCACGTGGAAATTGTATAAAATTTTTTGAAAAAAATTTTAAATAAGACAAAATTCAATATTAAAATCTGCTTTAGTATCCAATAATTTCAGCGGTTACGTAGGTGTTCTCAACAACTTGGCTACTAAGGTACATAAAAGTGTTGTACAAGTATCTTACATATTTATCTATTATAGTAATGGAATAATTAAATGTTCACGACAATATTAAAAGTCAATGTAATAGAAACAAATAGGAAAAGGAGGCTATAAACAAGCTCCGTAATACTTATTATATTACATGCGACGCTGCGCCCTCAATTATCTGATACCAGTAGCGTGCCGTCATTAGAAGCGTTGGAAGCGCCGCTTCCCTCGTATTCTCTAAAAAATAAATAAATATTAATATTAATTATATGAAAATAATCGCACAATATTTTATTATAACCGTATTATGTATCTTATTACAAATTTCTATACTACACGTGGAAAAAAAATTGCTATTGTATATTAGAATATTAGTGGCGGAGTGGAATCTCCTGTATTTTCAGATTACGAAAAGCCAGATTTGCGCATGCGCTTTACAGAGCACCAACCTCACCCGGTTTAGCCGGTGGAAGCCTACGACCTTGGGTGAAAGCTGCACACATATAAAGATTCCAATTCTATCAAGGACCGGTTCTGGGCTGTTAGCCGCCTGCCCACTAGATATTTCGATTACGTGAATAACGAGTAGATTTATAACTTAACCCAACCGATAAGAATTTACTGGTATGTTTTTACGATAGTTCTGTATAGTTGACAGGAGTTTAAAAAATCCATTAAAATATTTGATATATTTATTCCGCTCTCCGATTTTATATTACTCACGGATTTCGATGTTAAACCAGTGATATTACGATTTCGTACATCCCATCTTTAAGGGGATGTAGAAAAAAACGTGTACAATTCTTGTATAATGTTAAAAAATTAACCGTTACTTCGACAGCGTCATTTACAACTAAATTTAATGAATGAGAGAGATGCACCAGGTACAGAAAAGGCTCTAGAATTTATTTTCCTTAAATTTACGATTTATGTATCCGTTGTCGTAAAAATTTGTCTTTCCACTTTTTTCCCGAGACTACAAATATTCGAGTACAAAGTAACTGGTTTCGACTTATTTCTACTTAAGAAGTAGTTAAATAATTAAGCGATTAGGGAATTGGGGACGTAAACAAAACCCTGATGAAAGAGCCGGAATTTTACTTAAACAAAAGCCTAACCGGACCAATATCTAGCCGAGTACAGTGGGACTGATTTCTTCGTAATATTAGATGTAATAAAGACAGAAATTTTTCCAGTTCAATGAAAGTGAGTAAAAGTTGTAAATTTTGGAAATTTCCGTGGACACCTGGTCTTAAAACGAATTACAGTAGTTAGAAAACAAATGACTTTTAAGTTTAACAAATTTAGATTTTTACAGCTATGATGAGAAACGTTTAAAATTTACAACAACCCTGTCGCGTCCTTTGAGATATACTAGTGATGAGACAAAAGAGACATTAACCGGTATCGGCACCCTCGGGATTTGGCAAGCATGCACCGCACCGCACACCTACCAAGACCGTCTCTGATTCCATCCACGAGCCACTGGTAGGGAGCAATTTTAACTAGGTGGATTGTTTTAATATTTAAAAAGTAAAGACTATTTTATGTTATTTTTATGTACGTTTCTTCACAAAACTATATTTATAATTTTCTTTAAAAGTATATTCATACAATTGAATATTTTGTACCAGGTATGTATAATTGTATATCATCACACATTTTATTTTAACAAGTAAGTTTTTATAATTTTATTTTTAATTTTAGCCCTTATATTATAGCTAGCAATTTAGAATGTAATTGTGATATCGAAAATTTATTTCAAAAAGTTTTGGCTCGAGACCATATAATGAAAAAGAAAAAATTTGTTCGACATTTTCATGATAAAATTTATGAAGATATAAAATGGCTTTGTGGATGCATAAAAATGCAAAATTTGTTTTGTTGGCCTTGCCTACTATTTTCAAATAAAATTAGTGTGTAGAATGAGATTGGCTTTGACGATTTAAATAATTTGAGTAAAGCTGGCAAAAGACACGAAAATCCTAAATCTCGCATCGATTCTTTCGTAAAATTGAAGCAATTTGGAAATCAAAATAGAATAGAACTTAACATTAGTACACAATATAAAATATATATTGAAAATTATAACAAGATAGTTACGGCTAATAGATATATTTTAATTAGTAGATGTTATCAAAGCGAGAATTGGCATTTAGAGGGCGTATAGAATCTATTAAATGTAATATAAGAAAGTTAATTATATTGAACTTGCTTATTTATTAAGTGCGTTAGATAATCTATTAATTAAAAATACATTTAGAGAAGTCTACGGTTTTTACTGGCTTATCGAACAAACGAATACGAATGGATCTTAGACCATTGCTGACTGATTGCCCCTGGAAGTCGGCTTCTTATAGAAACACAGATTCCCTATCATCAAATGTCACGGCACGACACTGTCTGATACCATCTCTCATCCATGATCATGACATTTGAAGTGTTTACAAGTTTATCATTAGGTTGTTTTATGCTTTCTACCTGTTCTTTAAATTTCCGTTTGTAGATATCTTTTTCTCTATATAAAATTTTTATTTTATTTCTATAGATTTGGATATTATTAGTAATTGAATGTCTATACCACGGAGAGTGGTAATATTTTAGGCGTATAGCTGCCTCATGTTCTTTGATTCGTTTTTCCAATACACGACCTGTTTCATCTATGTATAATCTCGGGTTATACTAAAATTACATTCAATTTTATATACAAATTTTATATTTTAATTCTCCAGATCTTTTTCATCCGGTCTTTTTGTCTAATTTAAATACCTTTATGATGACATTTACGTTGTTTTTATTAGGATTACAATTTAAATTCTTGTTTACTATATTCAATACTTATTTTACGTTAACTATTTCATTTTGCAATACTTTTAACCAGTTTTCATTAAATTTTATACTAAAATTTTTTATTTACACTGTTTTTTGCTGTTTAGGATTTTTATACTTTCTTTAAATTTTCTGCTGTATAGGCCTACCTCCTTTTCTTTTTGCAAAATTTTTGTTATGTTGGTCAATATTACAATCATTTAATGTAAAATGATCGTAGAAAGCTGAATTGTTTCTACAATATTTTAGGTCGGCAACATGCTCAAGTCTGGTCTATATTTTCTGTTTTCTTTCTCCTATATAATATTTAGTGGCACTACAGGTATATGGGATTTGATAAACGATATTTTTAGTTTCTTCTGGTTTTTATTTTTCCTTTTTGTATTAATTGTCTCTTTTTAAGTCTAGAAGATAATTTTTGGTATATTGGTGCAAGTTTTACTTTGATTTTATTCGTTCTCTCTGTTAATCTCTTCGTATAGGCCTTTAATGTACGGAAAGGTTATATATTTTACTGGTGATTGTTCTTTATTATTCGAAGTGGTACGATTGTAATTTCCGAGTGATATCTACTGTCATACAAGAACGAAATGTTTCTGAATGGATTAATTAATGAGGAATCAGAAAAAAAAATGTAGGCTCCTTCCTCACAGACAATGCAACATCTCACAGACATCTTCAATATGCAACACGTGTCCGGTGAGAACCTCACAGAATATCTGATTAATTTAGTTTTATAAAAATTAAAGCAGAATTCTTGAAAATGTACCTTAAGTTTAAACTGGCCCAAAATGTAGTGTTCTACAAATATCTCGATCTGCCACTCGTAGCCCAAGCTTGCAATCCCAAAAATCATCTGTACGTTATGAAATAAGAAAAGAACTACCATTAGTAAGGAGACAGCCGAAAATCTGTTACTGTGAAAGCAAAACCATATTCACCAGACTAGAGTAGTTCTTGGTCTATTGTTCTCTAAAAGCATGGAAGGACTTCGATCTAAACGAACGATTTAACATATCACAGTTCAGACAAAATTTTTACTTTGAATTTTGAAATAACAGAATTTCCTCAACACCTAAATCTTTATATCACCTGCCAGGATAAAAGTACAGTTAAGTACTAACGGAATTTCGAACTATCCTAGTTCGAGTTAACCAGGATTTCCTGTATTAAGAATTATAGCAAACAAAATGTGCATTGTCTTAATTACTAATCGAATAAATTAATTTTAACTCTAATTAACACAAGAAACGATCGATGTAACAATTATTTATTGAAGAAAGTTTTACGCATTGATATTGTAATTACATATTAAAAATTCAGGTATTGATATGAAGTTTTAATAACTAAATTCATTAAGGAAAAGGTGCTTTTCCAACAAACTTTAGATATACAAACGAAGTTTATGTATAAAACTACAGAAAATTGAAATTAGAAAATTTCAGCAAATTCAAAAACTTAACAAATGATTTTAATTTTAAAATAACTTGTCCTTAAATTTTGTATAATGATCAAAAAAGATCATTATACAAAAATACAAATTATATGTTTAGAAAAAATCTATTTTTGAGTGTGAATACTGTAACATTTTTTTTTTTTTTTAGCTCTGTTTCGAAAGAATTTCGCTGGACATTATTGACATTCATACGGTTTATCTCCGGTGTGGATTTGAAGATGTCTGTTTAAGTTATTCCTTTGTGTAAACTTCTGTTTACATATGTCACAACTGTAAGGCTTTTCTCCGGTGTGGATTCGAAGGTGTTTAATTAAGTTCGCCTTTTGAGAAAACTTCTGTTCACACTTGTCACAAGTGTAAGGCTTTTCTCCAGTGTGGATTCTTTCATGAGTTTCCAAACTTTCTTTAGTTCTAAACTTCTGTTCACATGTATCACAACTGTAAGGCTTTTCTCCGGTGTGGATTCGAAGGTGTCTAATTAAGTTTCCTCTATATGAAAACTTCCGTTTACACTTGCCACAAGTGTAAGGCTTTTCTCCTGTATGGATTCTTTCATGAATTTCCAAACTTTGTTTAGTTGTAAACTTCTGTTTACATGTATCACAACTGTAAGGCTTTTCTCTGGTGTGGGTCCAAATGTGTTTAATTAAATTTCCTTTTTGTGTAAATTTGTGTTTACACTTGTCACAAGTGTAAGGCTTTTCTCCAGTGTGGATTCTTTCATGAGTTTCCAAACTTTGTTTAGTTTTGAAATTCTTCTTACAGTGTTTACATGAAAATTTCTTTTGGTTCCTTTTCTCTGCAATTAAAAAATGGTTTGAAATGATATTTTATCGATATATAATAAAAATTTTCTGAAATCAAAACAATAATTAATCAACAATGATATAGAAATTATTATATAATTAAATATCTAGAAGCAATTTCTGCATCAAACCAAAATCTTATTTTAGAAATGATAAAGTTCGAGTGTTATATTTTGTCACTAATATATTCAACTACGTATTAAAGTAAACAATTTCTGTAAAACATTTTAAAGGTGTATTTATATTTTCATAATGTTTCTTCTTATGTCTTTGCAATGGATCCGCTTCTGTTTTATTTTTAAAGGAGCACTGATGTAAAGCAGTATATTTAATATACAATTTTTTCTATAGACTTCAAAAATATTTTTTTCTAAACTCTGTATTTCGTCCAAAGAACAACTGAAAGTAATAAAAATATACTTGAAATAAATTGTATAAAGAATTTAATTTAATATGACTTTTAATATTAGAATGTATTATTCATATCCTTATTCGTTCCTATTGCTAAATGTAAAGTTGTATAATATGTTGGATTTACAGAAAAAAAATATTGTATTTTTAAAAGACTTGTGTTAAGTATACTTTCCTCATAACTCGTTCTCGATAAGAGGAACTCGCAACGTTGGAAAATGTAAAATTCAAATTCTGAAGATTGAATCATTAAATTTATTCTTCCAAAATGTAATTAATTTTTTCTTTATCTTCGTTTTTGTTTCCTGTATTTTCTGGGTGAAAATAAGCTAAATAAGAAAATAAAACAATCTTAGAATATCAGAGAAAATCATATTCAATGTATTTTGTACAGTGATTGAAAATTCTATTCTCAATAAATGTATTAAAATATATAAATTCTTAAAATAAAGGAGTGAGCCAAAATAATTATTATCAAGATGTCTTATATTTACAGAGTGGCTAATGAATACTTAAAATACTTTAATTAAGTATGTTTATTGTGACCATTCTGTGATAACACACTTCAATGATTTTCAGTTCTATTTATTGTACTGTACACTGATAGACAGTGGCGATAGAAGTGTGTTGTGACAGGACTGTTATATTAAACATATTTAAACTATTTTAAAAGTATATAAATTCTATTTTGAAAGTATTTGATATTTACTCATAAACAGCGTACACATTTCATAAAATTACAATAAATTTTGAAAAATCTATTCTGGTAATTTCAATTTTTTTTTGTCATTCGCGAAATATTTTCAAAATTCTTCTAAACAGCTGTTCATCCAAAAAATATCTATACAGAATGTAAATAGTATGTAAAAATAAGCCTAAATTACAATAATGGCATTTATATAGACGTATAGTCACAATAATGTAGACGTTCACATTTATTAATTAGCTACACAGTATTTTGAGAACCTAGAGTTGAGGAGGAATGCGAAGATGAGGAAGACAATGCGCATGGCGACCCAGTCACGTGGCTCTCCTTCAACCATACAGATGCAGCGCGCCCGTGGTCCCAATGGGATGCAGGCAGCGGGTCATGTGCTCGCTTTCATACTTTCGACCTAGTATTTGTTAGTACAAGCGATAGTCTATCCCGTGTGGATCTATTAGTCCATTATCCCATTATTAGTCCATTTTCGTGCTCTCCAGTTGAAGTGAAATCCACTAGTGCTAACATTGAAATAGAGTGGAAACGGATCTTCTTTGATGATGTATTTCAACCGCGCGTGGACTTGCAGCCTTGAATATCGATTGAGCTGAAATAAAAGGTTTTCTATTAGCCTAACTAGTGACGGTCACCTCCCGGAGGGATAAGTTAGGTTTTTTGGACAAGCCGGCCGCGAGCGAAAGCGAGCGTATCGGAGGAAGAAGGGTCGTAGGCTTCGACCTAGAGGAGTGTGAGGGCGTGGAAACGAACTTACTCGATCAGTGTGATCGTGTATCAACATCCGCCTCTGTTGAAGGTGAGTGTACAACTTGTTTTCTTGGCGTTTTACGTGGGCAGTTTCCTTTTTGTCTTTGCCGATGTGTCTTTAAAATATATGGCCGGACTGCCTGTTAAACATGCGCTACGCTTAGTGGAGAGAGCGACGCGACTCCCGATCGCGAAGGACGGAAATGATGTAGGCGATTTTTTATAGGGCTTTATCTCGTGAAGGGTCGTGCGTAGGGTAATGGTTCCTTTGACTTTTTTCTACCCACAGGGGAGTCTGCAATTCGGAGGGTTTGCCTACCCCTCAATCGGAGTTTGAATCATATCATATTATTAAATTACATTAGAATTAGCTTAAACCTAGATTTAAATTTGGCTGCATCTGTCGTGAAAAAATAATTATAATAATAAATAATAATAGTTTAATTATTAATAAAAATACTTCTTACCTATAAAAAAAGAAACTATTATTATCGACGATAACACTGACAGATGCTCCCAAATTACACCGGTAGTTAAACCAAATTTAAAGCAGAGGAAACACACAACCAAAAATTTATTCTCGTAACACCTTAAGACGCCTACAATTAGCCAAAATATGCCGGGCATCCACAGTCTCCTCTTCCAGTAAAAATTACACGATTCTCTAGAGTAATTATTTAAAAAATACAGCGAATTGCACCTTGCCTGTATAAAAAAAAGAGACAAAATAAGTGGAACATCTTAATTAAATAATACTTTTTCTGATAAGTCTTTATGCCAACAATTATAAGCGAGTATTAGAGGTTTGACACATACTGATCACAAATTTTAAGGTTTGGGCCATATTGATTTAATATTAAAAGCCATATGGATTCTTTTTCATGGTTAGATTCAGATTGTAGATGTTAATTTGTGCTAGGAATAGAGCCTTTTAGATATTAAAGATAATAGACTTTTATGGAGCTATTTCCGACATGTTAAGAAGGCTGTCTCGTAATTTTGGTTTCATTCGAATTGATGATTGGTTTCATCACTTTTTTACATAGTAATTTATTTGGTTCTTTGGATCTTTATTTTGTGGATATTTCGATTTTTAATCATTATAGGAATTGGTATGATGAACTTTTGGACCATGAATTTANTGATTAGATGGTGGTTCAGATATCTTTTGTTTTTTTAAACATTCGTGTGTAATATCTCGAGAGGGGTAGGACTTAAATGATTTCATTTGTCACTAACATTTATACGTTTTCATAAAACTCAACCCCACAGATTATTAATTTAATACTTTTGGTAGATAATAGAAAACAAACAACGGTTTTCGTTTAACCCGATGATAAATAACGGATATCGTAAGTAAATGTGTGTCATTTTTTCATTTGTGTTATTTGATTGAATTAACGTAGTTGAGTTTTAAAAAATACTTAAAAGTTTTAAAACAAAAGCTAATAATAATAATAATAATGTAAATGATTGTAATCTAAAATATTGTTTAATTTTGGGTGTAGGAATTTTTAAATTTTAAGTTAAAACACACAAAATACAATATTAGTAGATATTAAAATTTACGTTTACAACATTATTTAGAAAAATTCCTTAAGGATAAATTAAATCAATATCACAATTCTGAATATAGTATTAAAAATACAGGCCAATTCCTTGAAAAACTTAACTGCGGAATGTTGGATATATATTTTTATCATTTAGGCTCATCTATACAAAAAAATATAATTGATACATTGACCCAATAATTACATTTTAAATTAGTTAATTTGTTTTAAATCGTATTTTATTTGTAATACAAAATTTTTTAGACAATTGGATGGTATCTTCATGGGTTCATGTATAGGCCCTAAATTAGGACCCGTGATCGAATCCAGACAGGTCGAATAATCCCCAGGAATTTTTCGGGGGGGGTGATCCGACCGGATATGTTGGCCCACGTCTCTCATCAACCGGTCGCCCTATTGTGGGCCTGGCCGAATCAATAATGGGATTACTAAGAGGCCTCTTAGCGCCCACAGGAAGGAAAGTGTTAAATATAGTGTAATCGAACAATTGTTTATTGATACATCATCATAACGCACTTAAATTTGATAGTGGCTCGCCCCTGTACATGATACTTTTCCTGATAACAATGAAAGCATGTCAGTCATGTATCAAACTCCGTTTAGAAAATTTTTAATTTAAATAGCGTGACTTTCAGCTAAAAGCGAAGTTCATATATATACAGTAGAGCGTCGATTATCCGAATGTCAATCACCCGAAAGAATTCCAGTCGGCAAATTTAAATTTTCGCCAGTGCTGTGGCGCTGCAATCTTTGGCTATGTCTTGGGCTACTCGAATATTTTACGTTTTTGATACTAAATTAACTTCTGAAGTATAATTTTTTATTGTTATATTTTTCAATATATTTATTTTGATTGTACGAAATAAAAAAAAAATTTTTAACGATACAATAGTCTTCGCTAGGTTTACATCGACGAAAATTCAACGCGAAGTGACACGCAACGGAGAAAAATTTCAACATGGGATAGGTTATTTTTTTCGTATATAATCGATTATCCGAAACATCGATCTTCCGAACAACCCATCCCGATTGATTCGGATAATCGACGCTCTACTGTATATATATATAATTAATCGGGGTTCCTATCTGGTCTTGACATTCATCTAACACCGTTATTGAGATTAAGGACGGACAAACGGACGACATAGGTGTACAATTTTTTCAAATTGCAGCCCAATTATCAACAATGAGACAAAAAAAATAATTTCTTTAAAACAAAGAAGACGACGAATATTTATTTAATNGATCAGTGTGATCGTGTATCAACATCCGCCTCTGTTGAAGGTGAGTGTACAACTTGTTTTCTTGGCGTTTTACGTGGGCAGTTTCCTTTTTGTCTTTGCCGATGTGTCTTTAAAATATATGGCCGGACTGCCTGTTAAACATGCGCTACGCTTAGTGGAGAGAGCGACGCGACTCCCGATCGCGAAGGACGGAAATGATGTAGGCGATTTTTTATAGGGCTTTATCTCGTGAAGGGTCGTGCGTAGGGGTATGGTTCCTTTGACTTTTTTCTACCCACAGGGGAGTCTGCAATTCGGAGGGTTTGCCTACCCCTCAATCGGAGTTTGAATCATATCATATTATTAAATTACATTAGAATTAGCTTAAACCTAGATTTAAATTTGGCTGCATCTGTCGTGAAAAAATAATTATAATAATAAATAATAATAGTTTAATTATTAATAAAAATACTTCTTACCTATAAAAAAAGAAACTATTATTATCGACGATAACACTGACAGATGCTCCCAAATTACACCGGTAGTTAAACCAAATTTAAAGCAGAGGAAACACACAACCAAAAATTTATTCTCGTAACAAAGACGCCTACAATTAGCCAAAATATGCCAGGCATCCAGTCTCCTCTTCCAGTAAAAATTACACGATTCTCTAGAGTAATTATTTAAAAAATACAGCGAATTGCACCTTGCCTGTATAAAAAAAAGAGACAAAATAAGTGGAACATCTTAATTAAATAATACTTTTTCTGATAAGTCTTTATGCCAACAATTATAAGCGAGTATTAGAGGTTTGACACATACTGATCACAAATTTTAAGGTTTGGGCCATATTGATTTAATATTAAAAGCCATATGGATTCTTTTTCATGGTTAGATTCAGATTGTAGATGTTAATTTGTGCTAGGAATAGAGCCTTTTAGATATTAAAGATAATAGACTTTTATGGAGCTATTTCCGACATGTTAAGAAGGCTGTCTCGTAATTTTGGTTTCATTCGAATTGATGATTGGTTTCATCACTTTTTTACATAGTAATTTATTTGGTTCTTTGGATCTTTATTTTGTGGATATTTCGATTTTTAATCATTATAGGAATTGGTATGATGAACTTTTGGACCATGAATTTACTATAGGTGAGCTTGATGATGCTTTGAGAGATAATAAAAAAAGTTAAATAAAGCTCCAGGTTTTGATCAGATAATCATGGAATATTGAAACGATGAGACCACGTCTTTTAAACTTTATTTAAAGATTTTTGATACAGAGAAAATACCGGAGTTTTGGAAGAGAAGTATTTTAATTACAATTTTATAAGAATTGGAGATGTTCCTGGTAATTATAGAATGATTTGGTGATCATCTTGCGTTTCGAAATTGTTTTGTACTATGCTTAATTGAAGATTGATTCGATGAAGATACATTGTATGAAAATCAGGCAGGATTCCGGGCCAGTTATTCTACATTGGATTACATTTTTGTTATATACACAGTTATTCAAAAACCCTTTCTAAGGAAAAGTAGGAAGGTTGATTGTGGTTGGACTTCAAAGATTAATTGATGTATTGACGATTTGTTTAGATGAAAATGGTTTTAAATTGAATTTGAATAAGTCTAAGGTTGTTATCTTTTGTAAATGTGGTAAAAATGCGAGAGCAAACAAATGGTGGTTTAAGGGTTCTTCGATTCAAATTGTTTATAACTACAAATATTTGGGTGTTACTTACTCGTGTATGGTTTATTTCGAAAGCATTACATCAATAAGAAAATTCATGATAGATTATTGATGAATAAAATTATTCAGTTAGAAAAATCTGCCAAATTACGTAATTTGAATGATTATTTGCGTCTATTGAAAACTGGTCTTGTCCTCTTTGTTATATGACTCAGAAGTTTGGAATTTTCATTTAATTAATGGTAATGGTACAGAGATTGAATTCATAAAAAGGTATTTCGTTTATCTCGTAGTACACCAGGTTATTTAATTATGATGGAATGTGCCTTGACTCCTGTAAAATTTATGATATTTAGTAGGATAATAAACTGGATTATTGGGATTTCTGATCTTGATGAATATCGTTTGAGTAACATTTGACTGAAATTTCTATATGGCATAAATGGAAAAATAAATAGTAGCGCATAAGTAGTAGTGGTTTGACACATACTGATCACAAATCTTTACATAGATGAATTGTAAGTATATTTTTCATATACATTTTATTGAATGTTGAGGTTTGTTGATCGTTGAAATTTCTTGATTCTTAAAGATATCAAAAAGATGTAGTTGAGAATTATTAATATATATTTGCTAATTTTTTGTTCTAATTATCCGAATAAATTAAAATATTATTTCAAATTGTCGTGTATTTGACAATAATTTAACAATAAGACAAAGTAAAGTAGGGAAATACGAATTAAATAATTATTATATTGAACTATTTATTACTTATTAAATACCTATAAGTAGTAGTGGTTTGACACATTCTGATCACAAAATTAATTTTTTGAGTAACTACTATCGAATAAATTAAAATTAAAATCAATTAACGGGGGACCAAATTCTTGCATTCTGTGAAAACGGGTAAGATTAGCTATAATGTAATTATCTTAATCTTCACTATCGTTACTTTTTGCTCAGCGAAGAATAATTTACTCAAAAAATTAATTTTGTGATCAGTATGTGTCAAACCACTACTACTCCTATACAACATATTGATTTTGAAAATATCTATTTTTTGTTCAATTAAGAATTGTTCGTAAGATAGAATATTGCGAAAAGAACAATTCTTTTTAATTTGGACACCCAAGAAGTTCAATGTCTAAATAATTGTAGTTCCGGTTTTTATAAAGATTTTTTTCTACCTCTCCTCCTATAAATAAAAATAATCCGTTATACGTTGTGAAATAATTTAATAAGTTTTGTAAATTACTATGTTCAGTAATGTTTTTTATGGCCAACTGTCGGTAAATAATTTCACCATCTTTAACTTGAAATGCTTTCAAAATCTATTAGCATCGCATTCTGTAATTTTATATAAATCAAAATTAGGATTATTATTTTTATATTTACCCGTCGCGCATTGCTGCGATCTCAAAAGAAACGAAATTCAAGCAAACTCGTTATGATAAAATTCAATTTTCATTTTATCATTTTTATTGAAACTTATTATTATTATTATTCATTCTACAACACCATACTGCTGACCAGAAATCAATATTTAAAAATAAAATAGTAAGAAAAGTCATTTTTAATTAAAAATTAATTTAAAATACTTATATGTGTATATAAGTATAATATAAATTGTAAGAAAATTCAATGTTATGAAATAAATATTTCGTAATTTTTTTAATTTTGAATAATTTATATTTTATTTCATATAAAATTAATATTATAATTTAGTATTCTGTATAATTTTGAATATAATTTAAAATCAGAAAATATATTTT